GCAGAGATGAAGTACTTGCAGAGATGATGTATTTGCAGAGATGGTGTACTTGCAGAGATGGTGTACTTGCAGAGATGGTGTACTTGCAGTGATGAAGTACTTGCACAGATAGTGTACTTGCAGAGATGGTGTACTTGCAGAGATGACGTACTTGCAGAGATGACGTACTTGAAGAGATGAAGTACTTGCAGAGATGAAGTAACTGCAGAGATGAAGTACTTGCAGAGATGATGTATTTGCAGAGATGGTGTACTTGCAGAGATGGTGTACTTGCAGAGATGGTGTACTTGCAGAGATAAAGTACTTGCAGAGATGAAGTACTTGCAGAGATGGGGGCACGGGTGGCCCAGTCGTCTAAGGCTCCGCGATTCGCTGTGCTTAGTTGCGTCCCTTGGGCACGCCAGAAACCTATGATTAGGGGTTCGAATCCCGGTTCGCCCCGATTATGTTTCTAGGTTTGTCAGCACCATACCCGTGCTCGTGGGTTTCACCGAAGTGGTAAACGTCTGAGACCTGCATCACTTCGGGCTTTCCTCCCACATTAAGCTGACACGCCGCGATATAACTGGAATATTGTTAAACGCGGCGTTAAACCCAACTCACTCACTCACTCACTTGCAGAGATAAAGTACTTGCAGAGATGACGTACTTGCAGAGATGACGTACTTGCAGAGATGAAGTACTTGCAGAGATGACGTACTTGCAGAGATGACGTACTTGCAAAGATGACGTACTTGCAGAGATGACGTACTTGCAGAAAAAGAATGTAACACCAAAAGTTATCCCTGAGTATATGAGTACAACACAGCGAAGTTTGTTCAGTTGAATCACGTTTTCGTGGATATACTGTTCTGTAATGTAACAAAAGATTTCACTGTTACGCAATTCCTTCAATATCAGGCTCAGCACTTATCAATCAACCCTCGTAATAATGTCAAATAATATTAATGTTATTAAGTGCCTTTTATTATTCCAAATGCAACTCCAAATTGTATCAAAGTAATCATAAAGGTATTCCTGGAAATGCATTTATTACTCTTACGTAAATATAAATGTCAACGCTGGACAATAACCAGTCTCGACTATTCGTCCACAAAGATTCCACTGGTCGTAAAAGGCAAAATAGCAGCGAAAATTACTGAAAGCTGTGGTGACATCAGGTGTTCGAGACCGCCCCCGTGGTCTAATGGTAGAGCGTCCGGGGTTCGATCCCCGACCGCGTCATACCAAAAGACGTTAAAAGATGGTACTTGTTACCCTGTCTGGCGCTCGGCATTAAGGGGCTTAAACAAGGACTGGTCGGCTCGGAGTCAGTATACTGTGTCTGAGTGGGGTATTCATGTTAAACTGCGGCATGGTATCTCAGTGAGCTGGCACTATAAATCGGCATCAGTCCGGACAAGTACAAGCAGCCACACAAACGACGTCCATGCACGTCGCTATATAAGTGCAATAATCTTGGACGCAACGTCTCACCTCACCTCACCTCACCTCACCTCACCTCACCTCACCTCACCTCACCTCACCTCACCTCACCTCACCTCACCTCACCTCACCTCACCTCACCTCACCTCACCTCACCTCACCTCACCTCACCTCACCTCACCTCACCTCACCTCACCTCACCTCACCTCACCTCACCTCACCTCACCTCACCTCACCTCACCTCACCTCACCTCACCTCACCTCACCTCACCTCACCTCACCTCACCTCACCTCACCTCACCTCACCTCACCTCACCTCACCTCACCTCACCTCACCTCACCTCACCTCACCTCACCTCACCTCACCTCACCTCACCTCACCTCACCTCACCTCACCTCACCTCACCTCACCTCACCTCACCTCACCTCACCAGGTGTTCGATAAAGCAATGACACTGCATCGCTTAGCGATTGTCTATTTGAAAGGACGGAATTAATTCTTATCCCCGTTCGTATTCCCAATGGATAAAGATAAAGACTTTTCAAGTCTGTGGTGAAACATTTCGTCTTGTATCACAGACTTGCTCATTTCCTGGAATTAAAAATATCAGCCTTTTTCAGTAATTTAAGCCATACTGCTGAACCTGATTGTGTCAATCACGTACGTCCAAAGTTTGCAAGTATTAAAATAGCAGAAGGCTATGATTTTGTAGAAAAATCATTTAAAACATTTCGACGACTCGGATTTGGTATCGAGATTAACAGCTACGTTTTGTATTTAAATACTAAGAGCCTGACTTATTTTTTATACAAAAAACAGTTTGCAACAATGTAATTTTTTAAATATTTTTTTTTCAACAGCCTGGAGCATAATTATATTTTTCAAGAATTTTCGGGGACAATTTATTTTTTGTGATCATTCATGTCAGGTATTTTATCACTTTACCTTGGTGGTAGACTAACATCTGGTCTCTGAAATGGAAATATTTTTACAGAAAAAAACAGCTGTTAAATTATCTTCATAAAATATAATAAATAGGAGCCCAGAAACCCTCTTCATTTTCAGAGACTTAATAATTTTGAAGAGACATGAATACTAGGAATTTCACAAAATGAGTAAAGATTCCGACCACCCATCCCTGACATGCCACTGAATGTGTATGGTATGTGACAGGAATATTTATTCCCCCCCCCCCCCCCAAAACACACACACACACACACACACCTTTCCCAAAAGAAGAGCTCCCCACTGGGAGCTGTGGGCATTTTAGAGGAGAGTGTCAAATGTCAAGATGTCTATTTTGAGAGCAAGCTTAGGGACAGCATTCCTGTGCTCTCTCGAAAAGGTTTCAGAGTTACTTAATATGTCTCCAAAGTCTTAAAGTTCTGTTTGTAATATATGTGGCAGTTTAATGGTGTAACATCGAGGAGAAGAAAACTCTTTATTGGAGGAACTAAGACAAAGTTACGTCTTCTGATTAAAAAAATATTTGTCAGCCCATCGAGAATATTCCACACAAACCATGTGTCGATCATGTCTAGCTGAGGTAACACGAGTGGACAATGCGCTAAGCCGACATCATTTGAAAAGACTGCTATTTATTTGCATCAATCCCAGTGAACTGAATTTACAAAAAGACGAAGATCTGAAGATGTTTTTGAATCAAATGATTCATGGAGAAAGTCATTATTCCAAGAAACAAGAGTAACCAGAGTAACAAGGAAACAACTAAAGAAAATACAGACCTTTGTGCGTCAGTATGTCTCCAATGTTATCACACATGTTGTCTGACCAGACTTAGAGGGCAGGGTAAACAAACATTTAGTCCCAGAAATAAAGTTATCTTATTCAAAAAAATACATCAACAAAATACAACTTATGATCCAAATGGAACCCAGAACAATGCTTAATTTCAGCTGAGGCAATTAGACTTGACAAATCGTTCTAGACTTGAGTAGTATTCTTTATTCAATTTAATTTCTGGGGTCTGGGAGACAGATTAGGGGCAGGGCAGGAGCGGGAGGTCATGGCTGAGTGTTGAACTAATAACAGCAAGAGATTAACTGATAATTAGAAGCTCTGTCCTCGCTTGTGAAACTACAGTAATCTAGCCTATTATAGACTTGCATGGACTATATTGGCTATATTTGTTCGAGGGTCTGTACAACAGGCTACCTTGGTGGTGGCAGTTGAAGGTCTTCCTGACCTTGGATCATCTTCGAGGCCCTCTCTTCCCCTCTGTAACTTTGTTGCTCAACTCTTAATAGTGGCAAAGGAAGCATCTTCATCCTCTAAAGTTGACACCATGTCCTCTGTTGGAGTTAGTCCTTTCAGTTGTAGATATTTGATGACTGCACGGCAGTCAAAATTGTACATTTTCGTCAACAGGGAGTACAAAGTCACTTTGATGAAAGAACTAGTTGTGAAGTTGGTTCAGTAGCAACACAGAAAGTACTGTACATGCAAACTGTGAAGGATGTACTATACATCCTTCATAGTAATGCTCGGGACTTTCCAGCCACCCCTCGTAATACACAAAGCAGCAATTCGCATTTAAGACCTCAAAGTCTACCAAACCGCTGGGAAAGGAAAAGAGTCACAGTGCCCCTCTTGAATACCATACAATGGTCGGCAAAAGCCAGATGCGCATGCCAAGTGTGTTACAATGGCACTGACGTCGTCAGTAGTCTCTGCCATAGTATGTAGCATGTTTGATAAACAGTACACTGACTTGACATCAAACGTGCCAAGAGCTATGTAACATTTAATACAGTTTAAGTGATCGGTGCACATGCTTGGTGAAACGTTGGACCTGGAACCCTTCTTGACTACTTATGACCTATGAATAATATCACTGTGAACTGTTTCTTCTGTAGTTGATAAATGTGCAAAAAAGCATTCAATATTTATCGCTGGGATGTGTCTGTGTGAGGATGTGTGTATGTTTGGGGGAAGGGGATTGGAGGGTGGCAATCCAATATACATCCAGCAAATATTTCTTCTTTTTCAGAACATACATATATTTCAAAACAATTCAGCGTTTCGTCGATGAGTATGTGGCATATTTATTTCCATCAATAGAGCATTTATCGATTCTGTTGAAAGGAATTCTGTTAAATTAGATGTGTACACGTGCAGAAATTCCTCTGCTTATTAAAAAAGAAAATCGTTCAAGAAATATGTTCGTTTTGCGACATTGTGGGGCAGTTTTAATATATCCAAGCATTTCTTTTGTATTTGACTCCGCATACATGCTTCTGAACTTCTGACAGAAATCAGAGACTTAAGTCCACCTGCAAAAACATCGATCTTGATCAAGAAAATATATAACGTCAACGCTAAAGAATAATCAGCCTCGAGTATCCGTCGAAACCTATTCCATTGGTGGTGTAACGAATATATAACTCAAAATCAGTGCTGACACGTAGTAAGTATGTCCTGCCCTACTGCATAATTCGTACTCACTTTTCATATTCTCAAAGTTTGAATTTTTCCCTTCAATTTGTCAGCCTATAATGTTGGTCAACATACGACAATAATTCTTTTGGATGCTTTTTTTCAGGGGCTGTTCACAATGAATATCACCTTTGCCTACGCCGTAACAACAATACTTGCAGCTACCCTAACTGCAGATACTGATAACGGCACAACGACTTCCACTCTCATTGAAACGTCAAACGAAACCACTGATGTCTTCAACTCCTCGGTTCTCGCGGCTGAAAACGAAAGCTCGACTCAAGAATCGGCACCATCTTCCCGAAGACAGACATACCAGCCATTAGTCAGCACTGAAGCGAAAGAACTCGTTCTCGATATCATCTACTGTGGACTGCTTCCTGTCGTCTGCGTGTTTGGAATTGTGGGTAACGTAATGAGCTTCGTAGTACTCTATATCCAGGGGTCGAAGGAACGAACCAATATCATCCTCGTTGCATTAGCTATTTCGGACACACTGTTTCTAATAACAACATTACTGCGAAAGGTCAACCACCTTGTGTCTAAGGTCGACAAGAATGCTGCATTCGACGTTAATATGATCATGCAAGCCCAAGTACTAATGTTGAACATGCTGTTCGGACGGATCACAAGCGCTCTCACCATGCTCATTGCCATAGAACGTTTCATAGCAGTGTACTTCCCTCTCAAGGCCCAATTCCTTCTAACGCCGACTCGCGTGAAGTTCGCCGTAGTCTTTTTGTATGTTACTCTTTGTGCCACCTTTGCCCCTCTGCTCAATCTCTACAAAATCACCTATGTATTCAGTAAACGTCAACAACGCATCATTCCCTATATAAGAGTGACACAGTTCTACATCGACAACGCGGATTTCTTTGACGTCTACTTGGACCAGATCCTCAACATCATGTTCCGCTACACTCCGATGGTGCTGGTGTGTGTCTTCACCGTTCTGGTTGTCTTAAGGATCAAGAGGAGCTCAGTCTGGAGACGGAAGACCTCTCAGAACACTGACAAAACAAAGGATGAAGATCGAGTGACCAACATGCTGGTACTTGTGAGTTGTCTCTACATTTCCTGCCTCATGCCCGGCACAATCACTGTAACCCTCAGGTTCTTCATCCAAGGATTCAACTTTGTGGGGCGATATTCCAACTTGTTCAACCTAATGGGTGGCTTCATCTTATTACTGGAGTGCTGCAACTCCTCTGCCAACTTCATAGTTTACATGGCCATGAGCAAGAAGTTCTCCTCCACGTACAAGAGAGTGTTCTTGTGTAGATCCCCCCAGGCTCGAGGACTTGATGTCACAGCAAGCCCGAATACTCTTGCCAGCAGCTTGTCTACCATAGCCAAATAGTGGAACTATGTATCTTTCCGTACCTTCCCTCCTATGGTACTCAGCACAAATAATAGTTGTTATATGTTTATGAGTGATATTCCTTACATCAACGGTTGTTGTTATCAATGAGTTGTTTTCTATATCACTTCAAGATAGAGACAAATAAACTACCCTGCATATCCTGCAGCTTGTCTACCATAACGAAATAGAGGAACGATGTATATTTCCGGACGTGTATCATGCTATGCTTCTCAGCACATATGCTATTCAATCTCACACAGAGAGAAAAGTCCACTATCCTACATTTTCAGTCTATTAATAGTTGTTCGTCAACTTCGATGACCAAGAAATAAAGTTTCATGAAAAAAGGAAAAAAACTTCAACTTATTCATGCAAACGTACATAAATCAGATGTGGGTATATACATACTTCCAGACGAATATCGTTATTTGTCAAAGCCTATGTTAAAATCCTCACAAACAAAAGCAAAGTAATAACACAAGTGTCAAAAATATTTTTAAAACCCTATGATCGTGGTTTCGTATTTCAAATTAGCCTTGATTATGTTTCTATGGATTTGCCACCAAACTCGTTCTAGAAGCTTTCATCAATGTGGTAAATGTCTTAAACCGGCATCACTTCTGGCTTTCGTCCCACGTCAAGCTGACACATGGTGATGTTTTTGAAATATTGTTCAACCAAACTCACTGACTCACACATTGTGCTTGCAGAGCAGTTAAGTTATTTTTTATGTTAATCTGTGTCCAGACTGACTGGTAATTATAACAAACATGTTGCAGTGTTAGGGATTTGATTTAATTAGAAACACAACCATGGTCCATTGGGTACCTTTATAAAAATAAAAACGAGAAAACCCTTTCCACGTTCATAAGAAATCTCTACCAAACACAGTATCGATTGTAAGATTCTGGCAATATCACGGCCATGTGATTATGAATCAATCAAATAGTGATGATATCAGGTGTTCGTGAAACGGTTGGCGTAATCTGCCCCACAGGCGGCACCCACCACAAGCACGTGCAAAGGCAACCCAGTTATTCACCTGAAAAGACACGGGAACATATGGTATAAGTCACAATAGGGAATTGCATCGGATATCATTTTAGTCACTGATGCGTTAAATTTGGAAATGTCCTCCACATGTCTACCATTAAACGTTTTGAAAGCTTTTCCGAGGCCTTGAATGTTATAACCTTGATCAAACAACTTCTGAGCCAAAAAGAAACATATCAGCATGAATGACTTACCTCCAAATTTTGTTTTCAATTTTAGGAAGTTTTTCTAAAAGTTGAATAGTGGTGTACAAAGTTGAAAAATCAAATATTTTGAACGGCACATATAAGGCCAGTATGTTTTCTGCCTGCACCAGAACTATCAACTTTTGACTTGACTCCTGATAACATGTCTATTCCTCTTCTGTACTGGATTCCATAAAATCCGTACAGAGATATATTGCTGGGTCCAGCAAATGTACAACAAAATCCCTGTCTCAAAGTTAAACTATAATCACCAATACAATCAAGGAAGGGCTGCATTTATATTCACAGAAAGTATTTGAGACAAGTTGAATTAATACCATGTGGATTATCAAAGCTAAAAAAAGAACCAGGAGTTTTTGCAGTCACAATTACTGTAATTTACATCATGAGCTGCCAAGTCCACGTTTTGCAACAATTTTCTATAATTGAACAACCTGGATAAAATGGTGTTTGTATAGGAACGTGAAATTGTTGGTGGTTCCTGAAATTTGAAAAATTGTTTGATAGTTTGGTGAATATGTTTTGTCGAGAATATTACTTTAATCAATCAAGTCATCAATTCCCTTGTTTGCAAATTCCAGAACTTGCGGTCTTTGTCTTATTTAGTAGAGTCTTTTTCTGGTTTGGCCAAACGTTTCAATGCAATATCAAGAACTATACACTCTCGTCGATACTGTGGGCTCTTACTGTTTGTTTTGGGCAAAGTTTGCTGAAGTAGCTTCATTTCTTTCAATGATACAGTGTATAGTCCTGTTCTTAATTTGTGCAGTTGCAATGGTTCCTTGAGGACAGGCAACAAATCTTCCAAATGAATGATACCATGTAGCCTTTATTCTTTCTTGTGACCATGGATGAGGTAAGAATGAGGGGGAATCGAAACCTTCTACCATGTGACCTGCGACGTGTCTACTTGGCCAGTGAAATGTATCAAAATTGTCTGCCTGCTTCCAACAATATTTTCTATAATAAAGGAGCATGTGCCTCATTCAAGACAAATTCGGGACGTCCGTGTGTGCACTGATATTCATTGTGAGGCATCTTATACATTGCTGCTGCCACATATGTGACACATTGTATTGCCTTTTATGATTGGAAACCTCGTCATAATTTGTTAATTATTCATTGATCGTGAGTGGTAATTTACTGATTTCACGATGTAGCTCTGGATATACCGATTTTTGGGGTTACTATTCGCACTTTGATATGGGAATCAATACAAGAGAAATTGGGGGCTCGTCAGGGATCTGATTCAAATTTGTTGAGAAGTCTAAACAAAAGTAATTCAGTGTTAAGTTTGCCAGTTTTCGGTCAATCCTCATAGTTTTAGACGGGTTTAGTCAGTAACTATAACGTGGATTTTAAGGTTGAAGCATTTCTAAGTCGTTGGGTAAGGAGGAAATCAGGGTTCAGAGTGAACTGACTGTAGATCAGTTACACCATGCTGCAAACTTGACAGATAATTACTCGGTTACTCACAAAGGTAATTTCAGGCAGTACAGTTACTCTCCCAGGAATGATCTGGGTACTTTCAAGTTAGGTCAGTCGGGTAATTCAGGCCAGGAAAAGTGAACTACTTCGGTTCAGACAGGTTCGAATCCTAGCATGTCAGGTAGTTCATTCCCTAAGAAGTCAGTTACAATTCGAAACAGGATTCAGATTCGTCGTCAGGTGTTAGATGTAGATATAGTCACAAGGTAGGTCATTTTAATGTCGTAAAAGGTCAGTGAAATCATGTCTCATGCTTTTGTTAATGTCAAGTCCTAGCTTATTTCTGATGTCATCAAAACCGACGATGATGGTGATTGTGGTTCCACAGAGATTTCGTCAACAAGTAATGATTTTGGCACACCTACACATTTGGTCACTGTGAGTTTGTTAAAGGATGATAGCTCATGTCTTCTGGCCTTATTTGCGACAAGATGTCCCACTGTTTTGCAGGCCCGTGTCAGGCAATAGATCATTCGGTTAAGGAACGCCTATTATTGTTGAGTCATTGACCTAGTTTTTCACTAAGATTACCTTGGCTTGAATCCACTAAGCTATGCATCTACATTCCGAACAAGACTTCTGAGGACGACAGAAGTTGCCAGGGAAAAGCCCACTATGACTGAATGTAAAAATATAATTTTCAGTCCTGACGATAAGGTTTTGGTGTTGTCACCAATTTGAGGGCTAGATCCCAAGGTTTTTATGTAACTGACAAGAAAGTTGGTTGACAATGACTACATTGTACAAACTGAAGGTCACCAAAAACAAAAACGTTTGTGTCAATGAAATAGTATCAAATAATATGACAAATCTAAACATGTACCACCAAAAGGTATTGCTCTTTCTCCTGTTGAATCTGTATCAGATGAGTGCAGTTCTCAGTATGCAAGCGATGATGATCTAGGTGAGAAGGCTAGCCCTTGGCTTAGAAATTATGAGGTGTTAGCCCACCTTACTCCAAACAGAGACACATGTCAGATTTAATTCATGCGTTTGTCCATTTCTTCTGGATTACCTGGTTGTACCGACTTACTAAGTCCTGCCATAGATGTACACTGTAGGTAATGCAATGCCTTCATAACAGCATCCATGTCGCTTCAACCCACTCAAGTTGGAACATCTCCAGAAAGGAGTCAAACAGATGTTGGAGAATGACATCGAACCAAGTGACTGAGTGGAGTTCACCGTGCATCCTGGTACCCACGTCTGACAACAGCTAGCGATGTCGTGCCGACCTGAAAAGAGTCAACTCGTCATAAACAACTGGCTCATACCCATACCAAGAATTGATGACTGTACTGACATGTTTACCCTTTCCGCGAACACTTGGTGTCATCACTGATTTTCAATAGTCCATTCATATATGTTTCACAGCTATTTTGCCCTTTATGCCAAATGGAATCTTGTTTTGGTGGATAATCTAGTGTTGTGTGTCGATTCCCATTTTGAAACAATATGTTATCCCAGAAATTTGTACGTAAAAGAACTTAGTGTGAAACCAACAAACAACCAACAACTGGCATACAATCAACAAATGTATTACAAAATTAACTAACTTTGCAAATCAATACAAATTACCGCACAACAATTACAATGGCAGTACACACTAGAATGGTTGTATAATATTCAATGGCAATTCATATGATGGTAGTTGCCGGTATGAAATACGAAAAACAGAGGTGATCGAAAAGTCAGTGATAATAATATATATTCAACCAGCGGCGACAGTGGTCAAGCTTCCGAGACGGACATAGGCAGGGATTTAGGGGTGATGAGTAATCCACAGAGGGAAGCTAGCCCTGATGTGATGAAAAGGCTGAGAGATTTGATGGTCATGCTCTTCTCTCCTTACATACAGACTACCTAACTACTGGAAATTTCTACACAGTGACCTCACAACAAAGCATATTCCACGTGTTTCTATAACACACTATCACCGTCCACGGTATACCGGACCGGAATTTTACACACCACATCAGCATCTAAATATAGTAATTTCCTGACGAATTCTTACATTCCTGACGACTTATTACTGTCCAAACACAATGCAATGAGCGTCTACCGAATCCCAACAGAAACATCGTGACACATTCATTGTGAAACGCTAGAATACACTGCCATATAACACTAGACTGGCTGTTCTCTTGCATTAACAATTATATTATTATAATTATAGCATTGAGATTTCTCGGTATGGCTGGTAATTTCTGATGTAGTGGCCCAACCCACTAATGCGTTGGCCAAAAGGACAAAGTTTTTTGGGAAATCAGTGT